TGCACCTGCAAAACCCAGTCAGAGCAGGTTTACTTCCTCCTTTTCTTTGTTTTAAAATCAGTATTCTGTGGTTGGCTGGTTCACATTGGTCCTCCCTTGATTGACCAACTCAACATCCAACTGGCAGCCAGTCATGGGCATTGCAACACTGTCAAATTGTACACCGTGGTCCTTATTTTAGTAATTATGTTACATTATCTCCTGGGTCAGGTACCAACAGCAAACATATGTTCTTCTTTTGAATAGCTGTGTGTTTTAAAAAAGTTCAACCAACTCTAACCTGAACTCACAGCTCTAATCCAAAACAGAATGAGAAAATTAACAGAATACTATTGAGGATTTCTACACTTACAGTCTGTCACATCCCCGCTATACCATTATATCAAGACAGGGGACCAAACATGATTCACTGAAGAGTGCAGGAGGGCATACCAGAAACAGCAACAGGCACATCTAAAAATAAGGTGCCAACATGAAGCTAAAAAAACTGACTACTTGCATACCAAACAACAGAAGCAACAACTTGTGGAAGAGTTAATGATTCTTCAAAAATCAGGTCAGATCTGAGCTCTGCAATTGTAAATGGTGGTGAAGAACTAAACAATTAACAGGAGAAGAATTTTCCCCTTTTTCAACGATAGGGGAGTCCAGTATTTTAGACTTTGCTGAAGCATTTGGAATCATCTTCAGTCAGAAGTACCAAGTGGGTGATCCACTTTAGCCTCCTCCTCAGATCCCGAGCGTCACGGATGCCAAACTTTAGTCAATCTGATCCACTCCACATTATATGAAGAAACAGCTGAAGGCACTGGATAGTGCAAAGGCTATGGGCTGTGACACTCTGCAATAGTTGCATCTAACAGTATTGCATCTAACAGACAATGTGATGGAAGTGATTGAAAGTACCACTAAGTAGCAAATGCCTGCAATAGCCTACTCACTGGAGCACAATTTGGGTTCTGCCATGGCCACTCAGCTTCTGACATAATTACACCTTTGTCCAAATATGGACAAAAGCGTTGAATTCCAGAGGTGAGGTGAAAGTGACTGCCTTGACATCAAGGCAGCATTTGACCAAGTATGGCATCAAAGAGCCCTAGAAAACCTGGCATCAATGAGAATCAAGGGGATAGCTCTCTGCTGGTTGTAGTCATACCTGGCACAAAGATAAAATGACTGACGTGTCGGAGGCCAATTGTTTCAGTCCTAGAGCATCTCTGCAAGAGTTCTTCAGAGTAGGCCCTACCATCTTCAGCTGCTTCATCAGTGACCTTCCCTCCAATATACTGTCAGAAGTGCTTTTTGCTAATGACTGCAAAATGATCATCGCCTATTGTCATCAAGCAGTCCGTGACCATCTTCAACAGGACCTGGATATTATTCAGGCATGGATTGATGTGGCAAGTAACATTCATGCCAGACAATGATCATCTCCAACAAGAGAGAATCTAATCACGTTCATTCGTCATATGATGGCATTATTATCGCTGAATCATCCACTGTCAATATCCTGAATGCTACCATTGATCAGAAACTGAACTGGACTAACCATATGAATACCATGACTATATGAGCAGGTCAGAGGCTCGGAATTATACAGTGAGGATCTCACCTCCTGGCTTTCCAAAGACCTGTGCACCACTTACAGGGCACAAGTCAGGAATGCGTTGGAGTACTCCACTGGCCTACACGAGTACCACTCCAGCAATACACAATAAGCTGAGTACCATTCATGAGAAAGCAGCCCACCAGAATTCATGGGTTAAACCAAAAACCTTTCACTACTCAAGACTCAAACAAAGGAAACAGTTAGTTTTATCTTAGGTAACCATCCATATTCCAAAACCCAAAATTAACATAGGTTGAAAATAGATTAGTAGGCAAATTGTGGTTTATTATAAACCATAAAGTACATAGTAAATGACTGATACAATTAAGACTGTCCTTGCGAGTTTGCCCAAAAGTCCATTCAGCCCATACTTTGATGAAGTATAAAGTACTTCAAAACCTTGTCTTCCTTTCAAAAACCTTCAGCACTTCCTTCTGGGTTTTGTGTAAACCTCTGCTGACAGCAGCACACAACTAACCTAAGTTCCTTAGGCAGGGTCTTCAGTGGAAATGGCACATCTGCAGAACATCATTAACTCTGCTAATGATAGTCCAGATGGTGTAGATAAATCAATATTATCTTCGAGTGACGGCAGCAATTGTATATTTGCCTTTTTAGTCCAACCTATACCTTTTTGGCCTGCCTGTACAGCGTCACTGGAATCATTATCAACAATTGAATTCTATGACTCTGTGCCATTTATACCCTTTCCATGGGTTTCAGTGTCTTTTCAGTTTTGGTCTCTAATCTGTTTCAATCTTGGTTCCGTAGGAAACTGGAAGGGTCAGTTTCCTTTCTCAGTTTCTGATTCTGTTTCAAAGAAGAAATGCTTTGATGTATTTTATCATTGAGATTCCTTAAAACCTATTCCTTTGTTCAAGAAAATCTCATTCAGTGGCCCAACGTCATTTTTTGTTCAATTACTCTGGAATTTGTTCAACCTACTTTTTGATAAATAGCTGCCACTATCTTATGAATTCTTGGCCAAATTGCAGGGAAAGTTTATCATAGAATCCCTACAGTGTGGAATCAGGCCACAATGACCCTCTGAAGAGCATCCCACCAGAACTACCACTACCCCCCCCCCCCCCCCCCATACCCATAATCCCACATTTCCCATGGTGCATCCACTTAGCCTGCATCTCCCTGGACAATTTATCATAGCCAATCCACCTAACCTGCATATTTTTGGACTGTGGAGGAAACCCATGCAGACATGGGAAGAATATACAAATTCCACATAAGCAGTCACCCAAGGGTCAAATCAAACCTGGGTCCCTGGTGCTGTGAGGCAACGTTGCTAACTAACCACTGAGTCAGCATGCTGCTCGTTAATGGACTCAGCCCTGAAGGCAATTAAGACAGAAATTGCAGGGGAGTGGCATGTTTGATTTATATCTTCACTACCTTCTAATAATTTGATTATTTAGAGTTTTCAATGCTTAAGTGATTATTTAAACATGATTAATTGTCATGAAGTGTATAAAATCTTTGTTGTCATTCAATGAATGGCTCTGATCGATTGACAGTTTTCATGAGAAGATAAGAGGACAATGTATTTCAAGGGAATGCAGAATGGCTGTTTTTGCTTTGATGCCTGACTCAGAACTAGATTTTATCCACAGCTCATGAATCTTCTGAGCTAACATCTATGTGCTGAATAAGCCCAGCTTGATCACAATTGCAGTAGGTTTCGGATTTGAAGTTCCAACACCCAAAAAGCCCCAACCCTGCAAGGTTGAGTGTTCTGCATGCTAGCTGCTGCATACAATCTTAGTCATAAAAGTTAGATTTTCACAAACTACAAAATTTCAGAATTTTGCTCTCTTTTAAACCCAGACCCATGACATAAAACTTGGACCAGGTTGCTGTACTTAACAGAACTGCTATTTATTAGAAATAAATAGACTCTAGCTACAGGTAAACAATTATGAACCGTCAGCATATAACTCTACCCTAACCCTAGCCCTTTATAAGCTCTCTTTTATACACATACACACACACACACAGAGGAAAAAAATAACATGGGTGTTATGGACAGAACGAAAGACTGAGAAGGTAGTCAGTGGTTCCTTAGATGATTCTTACGACTTTTGTACTGGTCAGAATGCTGGTTCTTGGTCATCCTTCTCTGATGTCTCCATTTGTTTGCAAGAGTGGTTGGTTCACTTATGAAAGATCTCGCGTTCAGCAACTGCTAAAGGTAAGATTTTCTTCAGGATAAAAGTGGCTTTTACCATTAAGAACAGAGAGAGGTCATGAGCTGCTCATAGTCTGATGGCTACTCTGTATCTTGTTCACAGTCCCAAGCTGTTCAGCTACCTGAGAACTAATCAGATAGTTGCTGGCGAGCAGAAGGCCTTTGTCAGCAAAAACAAACAAACAGTTTGCAAACCAATCAGCCACTTGTTGCCAACCAAAGCTCTACCTGTACACAACCCCTCAGTTCCAGTTCATCTGCAATCACACTTTAACCACGGCTCAAATGAGCACTTATGTAAATGATGCTTTCAATGAATGTCAGGTTAGTACTTTCAAAACATGGTGCAATCAGTGGTTCTGAAACTGTTCTTTTCTCATTTCAATCAATAGCCAAAAATACAGAAATTTAAAAAGATATGGTCTTTACATACCATCGTTTTCAGTACATCATCGCATACAATCACCATTGTTTTTCCACTGAATTGAGTCCAGAGAGCTGCATTGCAAATGGCTGCAGCCTGGATATATTGATTAGGTTTGACAATTCTCCTGCATTAAAATCATAGAATCCCTACAGTGCAGAAGCAGGCCACTTGGCCCATCGAGTCCACACCACCCCTCCGAAGAGCATCCGACCCATACTCACCCCCCACCCTATCCCTGCATTTCCCACCCGAGACACTATGGGCAATTTAGAATAGCCAATCCACCTAACCTGCATATCTTTGGATATTCAGACACTCTAAAAAGAGCCACAGCTGAATCTTGAATATTCATATTTCATTGCAGGAAATAATTCTTCAACTGTTGAGGCCCTTCCAGTTTGGTCTGAATTATGTTAGAGAGAGATATAGTTGGAAGTTGCCCAAACAGCATAACGACAAGCAAGGTCACAAATCTGCTAGTGATAAAATAAAGGTTGTTGGGAGAGAAAAAAAAATCAAAGATAACAAGAATTATTTTATTTCACAATTTATTATGCTTATCGCCTCTCCCATTACCGCCTTCCCCCCCACCCTCTATCCCTCCCCCCACCATGCCCCCTTTCCCTTCCCCGAACCCCTCACCACCCCCACCGGTCTCTCCCGCCGCTATCCCATTTCCGTCTGTACCCCAGCATTTTCCCCACCGCTCACTCTCACCCCTCCCCCATTTCCACCTCCGTCTCTGCCTCGACCGTTGCTCGAGCCAACGGACGGGCGCCGTGATTTAATCGGCGTCCCCGGTCTCCTAGCGACCGTTTCGAATGTTTGGAGTGGATCGCTCGAGAGCGGCAGCTGGAGAAGCCTGGAGGAGAAGTGAGTGAGGGAATGAGGGAGTGTGGGAGGGAATTGAGGGAGTGTGGGGGTGGGGGAATTGAGGGAGTGTGGGGG